TTACGGGTCAGACGCACAGCGTTTTGTTAAAGGGGTGGGGTTGCTGTTGTTGTTTTTTTCCGAGGGCTTTGTCAATAATATTCTTGAACACTTTTCTAGCTGAGTTTAAAGCAATGCAGCCCGGAGCTATGTATGTTAGACTCGCTGCCTTGAGCTGCGTGGGGGAAGGAAGGCGGGCTATCAAGGTCTTAAAATCAGGAGAAATTAGAGAATACTGTACTGTAAAGATGAGCTCGAAAGTAAGCTCTTCATGTAGGTGGTAAAGGTACTTCCTCGCGAGAAGGAGCTCGCAAGATCGCCACTTTACCACACAACCTTTCGTGCACTTGCTCAGAAGTCCAAATTATGTTGGGTTCAGTGGGATTTATGCCCAGACAAATGTGTTCAGAATCCCAATAGTTTCTTATTCCAGGCCTCTCTTTCCCCATCATTGGGCCCTGCTTCTTTCAGACCGGAGAGGCCTGGGGCAACTCTTGCTGATGTCAATGTGACTAATATTAAAAGTCACTGGAATCAAGGGGCAACACCAGTAGCGGATTTTAAAAGCAGAGAGGCGGAGCCCAAGAACAGTTTGACACATAGTACAGAGCATGCTTTTTGTCTTCCCTTCCCCTTTTCTAAGCAAGGTTCCTGTGCCTGTAACAGATGAAAGACAGACAAATATTCAGCTGGTGCATAGAGGCAGTAAGGGAGAAAACCAACAGCTGAACGTTTGCACAACGTACAAATGCAGAGGAGCATTGGGGAAATTGTTGGCAACTTCAAGCAAGGCTGATTTCACTGGATTATGGACGTCATTAGCAAAGATCTTGGCACAACTGAAGTTACTAACAGTCAAAGCACCATCCTAGCCCTCAAGATAGTTATCTTATACTGCTGACTCCAAACGAGAGGACCTAGTTAGTGGCCTGCTGGCTGGATGACGGGAGTTGTAATCCATAATATTTGAAGAGCATCGTGTGGGGAAAGTTGATCTGATTTCTTTAGCACAAATATGTTGTGGTTCTATATGTTTTTGTTTGTTTGTTTGTTTGTTTTATTGTGATTCTATATGCTTTTTTGCAATCACCGATTATTAATTTCTCCAGATGGTATTAGCTTTAGACAGAAACAAAATTTACTAGAAAACATCAACCGATCATTAATTTCTCCCAATGTTATTAGCTTTGGACAGAAACAAAATTTACTAGAAAACATCACTGTGGGAAAATAGTCAAGAACTAAAGTTTACCTATAAATACCCATCTAATCCTTAATCAGCATATTGTGTCACATGCAAACACATGGAACCACGCAAGACAAAAACATGTACTGTATGTGACTATAATAGTAGCACTTGGGGTATCCAACCAAACTCTAAGAACCACCTAGCCACATTTCCTGGAATGGTAGAGACCCTTGTCCAGCACAAAAGCAGCAAAAATTAGGGAGCTGTACAGGGGACAGGTTGGATTTGTGGAAGAGATTGTCACTCTCGAATTGGCCTTCTCAGCCACACTTAGACGCTGTTCCAAGTCCTCCATACAGAGCACGTTACCATAATCTCTCGAGACTGAAGGATGCCTAACATAACCCATTGGGATGGAGGGTGGAGAGGGAATCACAAAACTGAAAGAATGGTTGGGTTTCCCACTTGTTCAGTTACCATGTTAAAAGTGGGTGTATCCAAAAGAGCTGAAGTTTTAGGAAGGTGGAAGGCATTAACCCCAGCTTTCTATGTAGGAACTGCTAGATGCAATTCCCCAAAGGCAGAGTATTCCCACCCCATTCCATTTAAGAGGATGCTTTGGACTTCGTTCCCCAGAGGCAGAGTACTCCCCCACCCCCACATTCCATTTAAGAGGATGCTTTGGACTTCGACTGCTACCAGCTCCACCCAGAGGGTCAGTGGCCAAAGATGCCAGGACAAAACGTCTGATGGACACCACGCTGGCTCGAGTTCCGTGGGACCTGCGCGTTTCCTTTTAACTCGCAATAGTTCCGCCTCGCAACTCTACCCCACACTCAGAAACGCACAGCGATAAACATACTGGAAGAACGGCGCTGGAGCAAACCCGAAGGCTAGTCCGGTCCACCGTTCATAAGCGGGCCGCCGCAGTCCTCCTTGGCCTCTCTTCCCAAACCATTAGCACCCTGTCTCTGCCGCTGGAGGGGGTATGTCGCCCTCACGTCTAGGAGCTATTTGGCTACAGGTCTCATCCCCCTTTTAAAGCCGTCTAAACTGGTGTCGCTCTCATCCCGAATAATCGAATGCCATCCCTTTGTGAACAATCCTCTTTCTGCTGACTTTCTCCAGGTCTTTTCGGTTCTCCCGCATTCACTCTCTCTCTCTCTCTCTCTCTCTCTCTCTCTCTCTCTCTCTCTCTCTCTCTCTCTCTCTCTCTCTCTCTCTCTCTCTCTCTCTCTCTCTCTCTCTCTCTCACACACACACACACACACACCGCCCCCACTCGTGAGCTAAAGAGCCACAGTGGTTGCGACCTGCTGTCCGGGAGGGAGGGGGGCGAATTGCTCCGGAACCCTGATCGTACTCGGTTATTCGGAAAATGGCAGATTCTGTCCTTACACTGAATCTTTTCTCCTCAAGGCTTTGCAAAGCCAGCCAGACCTGCAGCAGCTGAAACAAGGAAGACTTTCACGACACCCGAAAAGACCACGAAGTTTTACTTGCCAACGCTTTCGTGTCCACTTCTTCGAGTGCAAACACTGCCATCTTTTCGAAGCACAATGAGACTTACTCACAAGTATACATGAATACAACGGGATTGGATGCCAGCTAATGTCTAGGCAATCATATTCACAGCCTAAGAGAACCTAAATAAGATCGAAACAATTAACTATGCAGGGCGACTTGCCGTTCTGCTAAAAAAAACTCGGTTTGATTCCAGTTATACCATTAAATCCCCGTCGTGTGATGCCTCGCAAGACCCACACACACGAACACTAAGCTTGTGCTGGGTTGCTTTCACTTGGCAATAAACGACGCTGCAAAAAGTCAGGCTGAAATGGGGGGGGGGGGGGGGAGTAAAAGCGTTTGAATCGGACTCTCTGACGGCTCAACCCTGAACATTGCGGTTCATTATTTTCCAGCTCAGTCCGAAATACTTTCATGGAATTTAGAATATTTTAAGATTAATGTGAAATTACAGCCAGAGTCTCGCACTAGGTTCTATGGTTACAAAGTTCCCTTGAATACAACAACTTATTTCCCATGTGCGGACTTTTTCCAGGAGAAGGCATTAAATGGGGAAAGCGAGAAGCACCATTTATTGCAAGTTCGTTTTTCGAGCAAACTTGTCTTAAATCGAAGTTCCTCCCATCAACAAATAAAGGGTCCAAAGACAAGAGTTGAAGGGGGAGGAGTAACATGATCCATCTGTACCCTGGGTCTATATGAACCGATTCCGCAGAAGCACACGTACAGTTCAGGGTAAGAACAAGATGGTATGTATACCTGTCTGATATTCAGAGTGGAAAGGAGAACTGTTATTGAACTGAAATGGCTCCTGCTTCTGATAAGGCAAGTGCAAGAACAATCATTTTTAAAATATTACCTATTGACTCACAATAAAACCGGGATGGGGACTGGAGTAGATCCCGAAATTTTACCTTCCTCTGGATTTTAAAGTAACGCGAAAGTAAACTTATTCTATTTGGTCCAAGACTTTCGAGCCCTGCTTAATAAAGCTTTTTAATTTCAAACCGTGCTGTGCTTCAGCAGCACTTTTTTGTGCTTTGCGGTTATGTCATCGCTTGCAAAGGACAGCGGGGTCCCGATGTCACGGGAAGAGGCCCGGTATAGTTGCCATCCATATAAAGTGCACAAGAAACAGGAAAACAAAAACAAAAATAATGCCCACCTGATGTATTTCTTACACATCAGTTTCAAAAAGAAAATGTTTTAGGGGAAAACGTGTGTATGAAGGGAATCAATTTATTTGTTAAGAAATGCTGAAACAGAAAATCTTGTGTGTAAGTAACATAAGGGGAATAAGAACTACCACTTTGTTTGTTAAGATTAACAGAGTATCTTGAAATGGTGCCGGTTTTTCACAATTTTCACAGCAAGAACTACCATTTTGTTTGTTAAGATTAACAGAGTCTTTATCTTGTAATGGTGCCGGTTTTTCACAATTTTCACAGGGGCTACTTTAGTTAACGACTGCATCTTTATTGCAGCCTCATTCACAAGCTTGCTCAAATGGAGAAAACCGGAGCAGCTCTCCGCTTTCCTTGATGCACTCACCCGCCCTTTTTCATTCATCACACACTGTCGTTAAGCTGGACTGATGGCTTCCTGTACATTAGCAACAAATGGACAGCTGTACATCTAACTCACTTACGAGGCAAGTCCCAGCAAGCCCCGTGAGTCTTCCTTCCCACTAAATATGACAAATGGATAAGAAACTGGGGTCCCTTCCCCTTTTACAAAGAGAAAGACACCATCGCCAGCAAAAAACAAAACAAAATTCTCCCTATATGAACCCGGTGGTTAATTTCATGGGACACCCTTCCACATTTATTCAGTCTCAGACAAAGTAAGCTGTTCTTTAAGTGGTCTGTGCTCGGCTCTTTCCCTGGGTTGCAACTCGGACACCAGACTGGGGGTTACGGTCCTAAACAGGAGCATCGAAATGGGGATGACTTCTCCATGGATTTGTTTAGGACTCGACTTTCTGGGAGTAATCTTACTGTCCTTGGGAATTATCATTGGAACATCGCTGAAACTTAGCTTTCGTTTTGTGCCACCCCAGTACATCTACTCTCAACTGGTATAAGAATCTGACGTAGTTAGGACATGGAGGGGAGACCCCTGGGGAATCCCATGGATTTTCAGGTGGAACTAAAAAAAGAACTGCGGGAATGGCTAGCGATGGACCAGTGGCCACAATAAGGCTAGAATGAACGGTAAGTCTGTATAACAAAGCTATTTTCTGTGTATCACCACGGTCTTCCATTTTTTTGAGCAAGCCGCTGTCCAAGGTGCTGCACCTACGTACCTTTTTCGTCGTGGGTCGGGGTGGCTGTTATCGGGATATCAAACCACTGAGCCAAGGAGTTGGAATACCACACGGTAAGTTCCTCTCCCGGCTGGACATCTCGAAGAGCTCGGTAGAAAATCTAGGAGAAAGGGAGAGATCCCATCAGCTGCCAAGACAGCAAAGCGCACTCGGAAACTGGCGAAAATAAAAGGAGATGCTCCCCTCGAGTCTCTTAGGAAAGATATCAGTGAGAAGATTCTAGGTACCTGTCCGCCTGGAAGATCTGCGATAGCTTCCAAGGTCTGCTCTTGTGAGTGTCTGGCAGCCCGAATTAAGCCTATCCACTCCACAGCGGGACCGCCTGCTTCGTCCACCAGTTCCCCTCTCACCATCCGTACCTGGAATAGAGCGTAAGACAGAACGTCAGGTCCCTCCGTTCCGCATTATTGTGTTCGCCAGAACAACATTTGCATGTGCTCAGCTGATCAGCCAAGTGCTGTTTACTTAAAAAACGAAAGAAATTTGTCAAAGCAAACGCTTCCTTTCTTGCTGAATTTTGTTATATTTGTTTATTTGTTCGTTTCTTTTCTTTCTTTGTCCAGTTGGTCTCTCATTCACTTAGACCTCGGGGTGGCAACGGCCCATGCGGGTGGGGGGGGGTAGCAGGACAGGAAGTCGCCTCTATAATTCCCAATGAATACTATAATTATTTGTATGGCAAATAATCTCACTGAGTTCAGTCGAGTTTACTCCCAGATAACTGCATACAGGATTGCACCCGTGAAAGGATAACCGTCCACAACCTCCACCACCGGAATAAAAGAAAACGTGTTTTCAGGGACCTTGAAGATGATGGCTTGTGATCTGACAAATCCTCTATAGAGAGACGGTATTCTTAGTGTTTCTATATGTACTGAAATACTGTATTGCAGATGTACTGAAATATTGGTCGATAGCACTGGGAAACAGATTCTAAATTCGTACAGTCAGACTTCGGAATCTCCTTAAATTCTAGGCAGCCCTTTTTCTCTGTAGAATTAAATATGGCTCAATGAGGAGTAACCGAGTCAGTTTACTGCCGCAAAAACCATTGTGACATCTTAAGACAGGAACAAATCTGTGCTTCATCACCCGCATATAAAGTGGGCCACAGCTCATCGAGGCATATGCCAAAAAAAAAACCTTGTTAGTCTATAAGATATCGCTAGACTCATTTGCTGACTTTAGTACAGTATTAAAATGTCGATCAAATTAAGCAGTACTCAAAACTGTTTGGCTTAACTAGTGCTGGAGATTCGGATTCATTGATCTGTGTGTCGTTGGCATAGATGAGAGGTAGCTTAAGCCTGCTCATCTTTACTCAGAAGTACTTCCTACTTTAAACAGGACTGACTCCTAGATAAGCTGACGCAGCCTCAGGCCTCTTCTGTTTCCACAGGTCGGCTGAATCGAACGAGCAGAGGATCAGTCGAACAAGCCTTCAACTCCACATGCTCCTTCTAAATCCAGCCTGAGGAATGGAAGCATCGCTCTCTTTAAACACCTCTGCATCTCCTTCCGTTTTTACTGACCTGTGTTTACGGCTGCAATTTGAAATACCTCACTCGGAGCAAAAAAACAAAAACATGAGCTATCATCTTTAAAATTCCCCATTCAGGGTGGCAAATAGCTACACCTAAGTTTAATGACCCCAAACTCCTGCGAGACAATTATTTAACAAATAATCACTCTCAGAACCGGCGAAGATGGGGGGTTGGGGGGGGAGCAGGAGCCGAGCCTGCTTCTCATCCTTCACAGTCTGCTTGGTCGGGCGGGGGGCAAATGAGAGGCTACTTCGTTGAATGACCAGGCAATAAAAATCACTGGGACAAAGGCAGCCTAAAGGGAGCGACCAGCGGGGCCAGATGAGGAATAAATTTGAAGAGGCTGGCAGAGCGTTTAAAAACCATTAAGGGACATTCAGAAGCCCGGCGGAACTTATGACAAACCTCTGCGCTGGGGAAGAAAGGAGTCTAGGTCGCCTTATGCTAAGTTCATCTAGGAAGGATGCAAGGAAAAACTGCACGTGCCCGCCCCGTCTTTTTTTTTCCCCCACTCTGGGGTCCTTTAATAGATTCTCTGCAAGCCACGCCACGAAAGTGGCCCGTCTAGGAAACAGCTTGGTTTCTCTCCATTTTGTATAGCAAATATTTCGTCTGGATTGAAATCTTCTCATTCGCAAACAGCCTTGTCGTCGTCGAGGCTGTTGATGTTGTTCTTATGATTATTATTGATTTAGGGAGAATTTAAAACAGGCCCGATGTTTCAGAAATTGCCTTCCGGCAGACTAGGAGATATGCGAGGGTTATTTCCAAATCTTCCAATCTTCATTTGAACTACGTTGTAAGTTCGCTGTTCTCCACACGTCAAAACGCCGTTATCTCTCACACTCCTGTGGACACATTACTTAGGCTTTTTAAAAAATTTGTCCCTGTGCACAGTTGTCAAAATACTTACTATTTTCAGGAACTCTACAAATGGGTTGAAATGGTCTCTAACGTGGGAAGGGTTCAGACCAAGAAATCTGTCCGTCTTCAAGGCGCCTCTAGGGTTTATTGACATCATCTGCCGATGACGATCCGCCCTTCTGGAAATCTCTACTGGAGGTCGGTTTGGTTACTTGCTAGGTTTTGGCCTCTGTGTGATATTGAGGACCTACACCAATGGTTTCTAGTTCCACCTGAGAAGTATTTTGCTCCCTTCCCCTTTCAAAAGCGAGCAAACAGAACTTCGAGGAGGAAATGTCAAGAACAAGGACATCCAGTCCGAAGAATTGCTATGGCGGAGATCAAGGGACCGTGGCTGGGACATCATTCCTAAAATGTATGGATCCACCCTTTGCTCCAACGGTGATCTGGGATGGTTTCGCAAGGGTCAGCAGGAGGAAATGATTCATGTTGAAACCCAGTTTATAACCCCGAAGGAGG